TCAGTGATTTCTATTGGTACAAAGGGGATGTCACTTGGGGGAAAGAGCATGTGAGAAATACCCGCACAATTTTTTTAGCCCGTTGTCAGAACTGAATGGAAGAGTTCTGGTATTATCGGAACAAAAAGGTAAGGCCTACAAACGAATGTTCATCTTGGAAGTGTTTCAAGCTGGTGGATGTTGGAAGCTAATAAAGTCAGTTTTTAGATTTAGTGAAACTCCCTTTGTTCATCCCGAAGAAAAGAAGCCAAAATAAAAGGAAAAGATGTCCTTATAATCCTTTATCCCATGCGTGAGTGTACCAATCTAATCTACACGCAGAGAATAGAGGCTTACCACCAAGAATAGGACACGATATGGTCGAGCTTGAGAACGAGCAAGAGCGTGAATGAGAAGAGAAGGCTATGCGCTGCTAGTGCCTGTACAGACTTCAATACTCTTCTCCAGCTCATCATCTCTTCCCTTCTCTATGTGTCTTCTCCCTCTTTCCCTCTCTCCTTTTAGACAAAGAAACGCATAGAGAGAATATGTATATAATAATACCACACAAAGAAGACGAAACAAAACTGTCTCTCTCTCTCTCTCTCTCTCTCTCTCTCTCTCTCTCTACAATATATATAGTGTGAACCTCGTAAATACAGATACTATCAGTCTCTCTCTCTACAATATATATTATACCAATATATGTATAAATAGAATACCAGTCAAGGGATTACAATTTACAGGAAGCTTTCAGTGGGCGCCATTGAAGATAATAAACCCCCTTCTCGCCTTTCTATCCCTCTCTCTCTCTTGACTGTGTTTTTTCCCACCGGTTTTATGAATATAAAAACAAAACACATATTACACGCCTTTCTCCCTCTATACACCAAAAAGTCATTCTTTTCTCTCTCTCTCTAACTTTGCTTTCACGTCAAAGTAACGCCATTGCTCGTCCTTTATTGATTCGGGCACTCTCCCCCCGTCTGTGTAATTGATTGCGGCACTCTGTTCTCTGTATTTATTGATTCGGGCACGCCTCATTCGGCCATTCCTTTGATATTAATTTAAAAATAAAAAATCAAAAAAATTGTAAATAATCTGCATTAAATCTTTCTTCCAACTTAAATCGACGACATCTTGATTTTTTTTTTAA